CCCCAAAACCCCAAAACCCCAAAACCCCGCAAGTAGTGAATAATATTGGAAAACTATTATGGAACAAAAGTATCAAATTATTGTACTTAAACCGATCAATAACAATGAAAGAAGTAACTTTTGCTCTTTTCCAAACCTATAACTTCACACTCTATATCATTCTATATAAACTTAACCTTTCGGTTTAGAAGACCATCATCGTGGGAAAGAATTGAAGGCAAAAGCAAATATCATTAGGAAAGTTACTAGAAATTTTAGAATTAACAGAAAAAATTCTTTGACCGAGGCTAAAGGTAGGAGTGCTAAATATAATTGCTAAACTATTTTTTTTAATCTTATTTACCTTTAAAACTGAGATACTCTATTAGTTTCCAAAACTTATAAAATGCACCTCTATTTAGTAATTAAAATTATTAATTTGGTTCTGAGTTGATTTGGTGTAGGCAAAGTTCAAAATTGCCATCTAAAGAAAAAGATAAAGATTATGAGGCTGAAGAAGGTGAAAGTGTCTACAACAGACCAAGAAGTTAATCCTAGCAACAATCTCTTAGAAGGTAAATGAGTTTTGATGACTAATAGATTTTAAAAGCAATTTGAAAACAAGACCAACATCTATTTTATCCAGAAGGTAAGATTACATTATATTGACGACAACCTTACTTTCCTAACAATTGTGGTTAATACTGATACAGGAAGCGGTCTAGAAATATAAAGAGTCTCATGAAAGCCTCGACTGAGCATCATGGTCCGATCCAGAAATTTCCAGCATTGCAAAAAGTCAGTACCCTTCCAACAAAATCTAGAGTGAGTTGTTGAACTAGAGCTGTTTTTAATATTTAGGATGAAGCTACGGAAACTATACTAATGAAGAAGAGATGTAGAAACTTAAGTCGTATTAGGAACACCTCACAAAGTAAATTGGTCTGGCATTATCATAAAGTTTCTACTCAAAATCTTATAATTCTATATTAGGTCGTTTGCATTTAACTCAGAAAACTGGACTAGTTGAGAAATCAGTTAAATTTATGAATCAAACTCCAATCCAGAAGAGTAGAAACAGAAGTATAGGGTCGATCAAAGGTTTACTTTTTCAGACCTCTCAAGTGGTTGATGATTATAAGAAGCTATTGTTCAATAGTAAGTCATTCAAATAGTCAACCATATTTATTATATAAAATTACTTGGAATGATTTGTTAACCAATTCTAGAATCCAAACTAAGCAAGGTTTGGTTCAAAATCAAGCCTAGATAGACCCTTGTTTCGACCTGACAGCTGTGACTTCAAGGAGTAAAAACCCAGTAAATATCGGTTTCTTATATTTCAATCATAATTTGCAGGTGAGGGGTTTTGGGGTTTTGGGGTTTTGGGGTTTTGGGGTTTTGGGG